AACTTGGATCGTTTCTGCAACTGATGCAAACCCGGAAATCGAAAGTGCAAATCAAATGACCTCAGCCTCGTCGCCATGTCACATCAAATGTCAGTCGCGCACTTATTGTGCTCACGCCACATTCTAGTGAGAAGTACGTCACGGGAAACTTATTTTCTTTGATTTTTTTCCAACAAAGCCTGTGTAGCAGGCGCCTGTATTTTTAGGGCGAAAGGGCGAAATATCTCGCGGCCTGTAAAAAAAAAATTACGTCGCCTGCTACGCAGGCTGTCTGTCCAACATGACCAACATGGCGCGCGGTTTAAAAAATGTTTGCGAGTTTGTTTCGGATATAGCAAGTTTAGGTCTTGAAAAAAGTTTAGCAGTAGCTAAAAAATTTAAAAAAACGGAGAAACGTGGTACGAGAGACTTGCAGTTTTAAAAATGTTCTCGGGATTATTCTGCTTGAATAATTTACTCTGCTTTAGAAAAAGACGGACACGTGGCGTTTGTGACATTTCTTTGCTGTCGTTACACGACTACAACATGAAACTTGCTAATTTCACATTTTATGAACTAGAAAACAGAGGACAACTCAGATTTTTCTTCTTTTTCTTACCTTAGGTAAAAACTTTTAAAACTCAACTCCAGAAAAATTCATGAACAATTGATAAATTGAACGACGCAGAACAAGAGCGATGAAGTTTGAAACTGCCCGAATGCACTTTTTTGAAGTGAGGTTTTCGCCACCGTCGCCGTCGTGATTGCTTTTGCCCCCTATTGTCTTTTGAACTAGGCCTGATTGTTATCCAAATTCTCCCCGTCACAACTGTCAGTACCACAGGAGATGTATGGAAAATAGTGTGGAGAATATACGTGATAATATTGAGGATAGAAGGGTCTACGACAATGCAAATGAATGAGCTATTATAGGTATATACCGTAAAATTCCGAAAATAAGCCTCTCCATGTATAAGCCCCTCCAAATATAAGCCCCCAAAACTCGTAACGCAAAAAACCCTCCGTTAAATCGCCCCTCCAAAGTACAAGCCCCCCGGGGCTTGTACTTGGAAATTGCCCTCAAATACAAAGTAAAACAAAGAGAAACGGTAAATTTACTTCCAACTATAAGGCTAGCCCAATCAATTTTAAAAAGGCAAATTTCCCTCCGTACATAAGCCCCTCAAAAAGCACCTTTGAAAAATATAAGCCCCGGGGCTTATTTTCGGAATTTTACGGTAGCCTGCTCGAGCGCCTTACTATACTGTGAAGACCGGCGAACAGAAACCAGTAACAAAAAGAATAACTTTAAATATTACTGCAAGTAAAGAGTTTGACTGCGCTTGTCAACAACGTTACCATTTACGCCCGAATAAAAAATTCATACAACGAGTCCAAAGAAGTTTTAAATCTGGGCCCAGTTGTTCAAGGCCGATTGGCGCTAATCCGGGGTTGAATTTTAACCGGCTTTGTTTTTCTTTGCCATTAAAAGCCTTTTTTCAGATAATTTTCTCTATTATATTTAGTCCATCCAATTATCAAACTGTAGACAAAAAGAATTCAGCTCAATTTGCTTTTTTACACTTTCATATCTGACTTCAAAATTTTGCACTAGCCCTAGATTATCTTAACCCAGCTTTGAACAACCCGACCTAGGTGTTTACAAACGCAGTAAAAGAAAGCTACCACAGAAATATGAATTTGAAACGAAGCTTCTCTTACAGCGGGGCCATATTATGGAATAACTCGCCCAAAAACTTAAAAAATTCTGCATCCGTTGAGCATTTTAAGGTAAATATCAAGAAGGTAGCTGATATATCGGATTCCCACACGGCAATCATGTAAAGCAATTGTAATTAGTTTTAGTTTTTAACTTAATCTTAACTGATGATTTCCCGTGTTTAAATAAAGATTTACATACATACATACATACACACACACATACATACATACATACATACATACATACATACATACATACATACATACATACATACATACATACATACATACATACATACATGTAGGTAATGGATCCGCTTGTTTTTTGTTCTGACAAGACGCACAGGCTTAGTACGGGAGTAATGCTCTTTCTGGGTTATGGGCTCCTTTGAGACGCTATTGGGGCGTTTCCTCGAGGCAGGGGGACGCATAAGTTTTGAGGTGTTTGAGAAGATTTGAGTCGCCACCATTTATAATCAAAAACAAAAGGAAGCACAGTTGGGCAAACGGATTGAAATAAGGACGCCTCTGAATGATCATAAAAATATATCTTCCTTCAAAAACAAATGGAGCCCACTTAAACTTCACCCCTCGGACAAATATATTTGCTAAAATTAAATAGCTTCAAAAGTAACAAGTGAAGCAGAGACAAATGCAAATGCAAAGCACGTTTTAGTAAGGCAGACTCTTTATGTTTTTGTTGTTCCGTTGTTTTTTTTCTTTTGCAATTATTAGTCAAATTTGTAAAACATTTTTAGGTTTACGTGGCTGTAAATGCTCTAACATCGTATTTTGCCTTTTTCTCTTGTCATGTTAATGTAAGTTGTTTTCTATTTTCCCTCCATTTAAAAGTAAGTATTGTCATAAGAAGTGTTGTAATCAAATAAATGTTATGAACATTTACCAAGTCAATGAATAGCAATTTTCACGCGTTTTGATTGGCTCTCGTAACTCGGAAAATCCTCGGCTATTCACTGTTTTTCGACCGGAGCCAAGATGGCGTCTTGTTTCGAGACATTTTCGGAAGACGAAATTTGTGCGATAAATGAAGCAGTCGTACAAATAAATACCAAGAGAGCGACAAACTTTGGCTTTTCGGAGTTCATTGGTAGGTAGAAAATTGTTTTCATGCTGAATATGCAACAACATCGTAAAATGTACTTGACAAAAAAATCCCCGAAATGTTTGTAAATTGTAAACAAAGTTCCTACTAAGTGACGTTTTTAATTTACAAATAGTTTCTTTTTGTCAGTTTTATCCAACTGATTTGGTAAATACTAATACAACTATCCCCCTCGGGGTCCGTGAACAGCGTTTTGTAGTATTTTGCGTATTCTTTTACGGTTTTACCAACTCGTTAATGCTTCTCCAGCCTAGTTCGATCCACTCGAGATACATCCGAGACACATTTCAAGAATGGGGTTGCTATTGGTCATTCGCATACATCACTCGCACAAAATTTCGGATGTTTCTTAAGCTTCAGATGTTGTCAGATGTTTATGTATCTCGGACGTTTAATCTTCAGACACGTTTGCCGCATTTGAACAAACTTCGAACAAACTTAACATTTCAGACACATTGCTGAAACATACCTAACATAAATTTGAACCTAGAAAATCACCTATTACACTGTAGCAAACTGTGAAAATCTGTGAAAATGATAGTTCTATAGTTATATCATGTTTATCGTTAGTTCTTAAATACGTGATGGCGTCGCCCTTTACGTTCTTGTACTGTACAGTAAGAATTTTTTCCGAAAAAATCGTCCGAAATTTTTTGCAAGTGTTGAATGTAGTTGCTAGTTTTTTAAGTCGTCAAACAATGTTTCTTTAGCTTATCAGCCAAGAAGCGTTGCGTGACAGCGCAAAAGAAGTTTTAGGTCACGTGACCAGCAGCCATTGAAACTTCTTGGAAGTAAGGGATCTTTTACAGACGAAAAAGGTTCAACTTCCTTATTTAGGAATGATTTGGGACAGCAACATAGCCGCCATTTCATTGTTTCAGGACACCAACATGGCGGCGGCCGTGACGTCCGATCGTGAATTTGTGTTTTGAGTTTCCACTGGTGCCTTGTGATAGTGCCAAGACAATACTGGCCTCGTCTCATCGTAATTGCGCTGCATCATACAGGTCGAAAACAAATGACGCAAGAAGGCACAGACAAACAACACAACACGAAACACCTGGGAAATGAAAAGAGCAAACAGAAAAAGGCAAAAAACCACGGGTACTTTGCCAAGAATGACAATTTCCACTTGTTCGCATAAACTCCACCAAGATTGAAAATGATCGCTTAGTGGTACAGCTAATGACAGAAAAGAAGCAAAAAACACGTTTACAGTCCCTAGCAAAACTAGGGACAGCAGAGAAATGGTCTCGAGCGTGTTTGCCATTCTGTCACGAAATGGGTGTGTCAGGACATGATGGAGAAGAAACAAAACACAGAAAAAGGTCATAATGAGAAGACGAGAGACTGGGTCGAGGACAAAAGTTCTCAGGATGATGAGAATTAGTCGGCGTCCAATCATAACGCTTTCCCAGCTCAAAGACAGTTTGCTGCCATCTTCTGGTCTCTTAAAAGGTTCGTAAAGAACTCTCTCAACAAATATCATGATCATAGAATCTTGATCTGTGGATGAGTCTACGTTGTCATTATTTCTCTCGGTAAAAAACGCAAACACCCAGTATAGTAAATAAGGTAAAGGAAAACAACAGGCAAGTAGGAACTTTCCAGCAGAGATGGATCCTCGGAATAACTTAATTGGTCCCCAAAGCAGGACAAACACGAAAGGTACAAATGACATCGCGATAAAAACAATCAAAATGTACTGCCACCACTGAAAACACTCCACGTTTCCATCATAAAACAATCACTTCTCTGAACCAATGGGAACGCATCGTAGCAGGTTAAAACTCACAGAAACAAGAGTTGCGTATCCTAGCAATATGGTTTGTAGAATACCGCCAATATAAGGACCAACGAATGGGGCTCCTTGACCTCGAAACTTCTGAATTCCCCAGTGAACAATGTAAATAATGCCAATCATCAAATATGTGCTAATCACCTGAGACGCACAAAATAACTGCTTAGTTACCACGGTGAGGCCAGGAAAGGGACAAACTAATTCACCCAATGAAAATTTTTGCTGAAAGTTAAACATCCCAATCAAAGGCTCGACAAATTTAGTTTTGAAGATTTGTTGTGAGGAGTTGGAGACCAGCAAAATGTCCGCCGCCTGGTAGAGGTAGAAGACAATCGTAAGATAACCTCTTGAAAAGTTTCTTTCTTCGTTCTCTGTTTAATCTTTTTTAAACCAGAATATTTGGCGCGTGGTCCAGGCCGCAAAAGGAGGCCTAAATGTAAAATACAGTGCCATAACCAATACATATAGTAACGAGACAGGCCAAAACCAGTAATCGTTACACTCTTGTGAAGGTCTGCAGTGTGTGGAGTAAAGTGTCTCCGAGTAGGCGTCACTACACTGTCCGCATAATTTACCAGAACGGTAACCCTGACAACCATTATATTCAGGGTAATCGTTTATATCAGGTGAGCGACAGTAACCCAAGGGACACAAGGTAAATTGTAGCGTTGAAATGGTATCCTGTTCTTCAAAGCCCCAAAAGTTATTTTTGGCGATTATATTTTCAGAACAGTTTGCTCCAAACGGGCACGGTAGACACTGAAATCCTGGTATTAACTCGTTTCCAAAGGCACCTCCCCGATTCAGACTATACTTTCCCTGTGGACATGTCAAACAGTAATATCGTAGAGAGCGAATGTCTACTGCGATACTGCATGTGTCATTTATCGTTTGTACTTCACAAGTTGTAAAATTAGTAATATCCATCTTCATACCAAGTGGACAATAAAACCTTGTCAAATTATTGTCTCCAAGATCTATCAATCCACCATTCCGAACCAGCAAGAGAGTACTAGTTATGATGCTGTCATGCATTCGTTTAGCGTCCATTGTGGTGTTGTGAAAAACAAGTGCTCCTGAAGTTTCAGCGTGAAGAAAAGACCCTATGGTGTACCTTTCTCCCACTAGCTGCAACTGGTTTATAGTTTGATTGAAAACAGTGCTTTGCAAATGAAGGCTGGATGAACCAGTTCCAATGTATATGTGACCGCCAAGGTCTGCTGCGAAATTGTCACTGAAGAAGCAATTTCGAAATGTTGCGTTTCCGTATTTTAAATATATCGCGCCACCCATAACTGCAGCATTTCTCACAAACGTTGTATTTTCAAAAAGAAAATAACTTCTGTAATCCCATAAGCGAAAGTTCCTGTTACCACGAGGCTTGCATGACCAAAATATATCTAGTGGGAAACATTGTGGAACAACTTCGGTGTCTGTTCCTACAAAGATGATCACTGCCCCTCCGTAGCTATTTTCATTCGGCGCAAAAACTGAGTTCTGCGAGAATTTAGATCCTTTGATTTTAACGTTGACATACGCGGAATCTGTGGCTTTTATAGAAATAGCACCTCCTTCGAGACTAGCAGAACAATTCTTGAATGTAGCGTTATATATTTCAATAGATAAGGACTGTCCTTGGTTACCGAAGATATTCATGGCGCCTCCAAATCCCATTCCCTTTTTAAGTGGACCCAAATAGTCGATCCGGGCATGATTGCCGTCAAAAACGGAATCAAACACTCTCAGTTTACTCAAGATCACTGCTAGCGCTCCGCCATAAGAGCCTCTATTTTTTAAGAATCGAGATCCGAGTATGCTAAGAGTTGCATTAAGACGGATAAAAGCGCCCCCATAGTATCCTCCGCTATTAGACTCTATGGTAACGTTTTCAAAAACGATATTGCTTTCTTTCAAAATTAATATGACGATAGGTGTTCCATTATTGTGTAAGAAGACAGAGTTATTAACTGTAACATTGCTGACGCTTTTTGTCAAATTGTATAGGGAGTAAACAGCAACAGCACGTCTATGATTAGAAATAAAATCGCTGTTATTTATAAAAATTCGTATTTGGGTTGCATTTGCTAAAACACTCAATGAGCCCCCAGTTATGTCAGTAGTCTTCAGCGCCTGTCTACACCGCTCAAAACGGGAACCTTCTACAATCAAAAGTAAATCTTTGACCAGCTTTCTTTTTGGGTCCGACGTTAATACATCTATTAAAGCCCCTCCTCCTCCATGCCTTTGTGCGTTACTGGAACAGCCAATGAACGCAGAGTGACGCAGTCTCATCAAAACCTTCGTGGCCTTGATATGTATACCTCCTCCCCCATCGGAACTGCTACCGTTGATAAAAACACAGTTAGTGACGCCCAAGTGAAATAGCGCGTCTCGTCGAATACTGTATTGCACGCTATTATGGTCGTCTGTCGAGTACCGAGAATTGTTGTAGATTGACCCTGATGTGTAAATATAAAGCGCTCCCCCTTTACCATTTTTCGCAGTGTTGTTGGTGAAACTGTTATCGAAGAAACTAACCTTGTGAAAATTGGCACATTCAATGGAAATTGCTCCACCTTGATATGCAGCTGTATTTACAAAAAACGAATTATACACGTTAAACGTATGAAGATAATTTCCTCTCAAGCATATGGCTCCACCACTCCCGATCACCCTTTGGCCAGTAAAACTGGAGTTATAGATGGCTACCGAAATGTTGGAGGCAATGATATTGAAAGACCGCGCATGTTGACTTTCGAAGGTGCTTGAATTGACTGAAATTGTTAGGTCGTTGCTGTTAACGTTCCATTCACTGTAACCACCCATCATAAGAGCTTGGTGCGACGAACCATAATTGTCAATAAAAGTCACATTCTGAAGTTTAATGAACTGGCTGGCTTTTCTCGTATCTACCCAAATGAGACCTTTCGGACTAAGCATGTTTCGGTGAAACACTGTGCTTTCCAAGATCACATTACAACTTACAGATCGTTTAGTTAAAGATAATGCAGCAAATGATATAACTTTCCCGTCATCTGACAAAAAGTTGTCTTCAAAAAGGGAACTTTCAATCTTAAACGTTACTTGAGTTCGTTGAAAAGAACTGCTTTTACTGTTGACATTTACAGAGATACATTTGCTGTTCCTAGAGAAGGATGAATTTACAATCTGAATGTTCACAAACATCCCGTCAGAAATATTGATTTCCACACCACGTACGCTGTCTTGGAATTTACAACCATGAACATAAACGGACGAGTCTTGGAAGCTGATAAAGCTGTTGCTTACAAGAAGTCCTGATATAGTTATATTCATTTGCTGCGCGCTATCAGAACCGTTGAATATTAAACCTGTTCGTTCAGAGCATTGTATCTGAGGCATAGGACTGACAGAACCAATCAGAGAGAGACTCTTGCTGGTGTAAATCCCCGGATGCTGTGACGTTCCTGATGAACAGTCGTAAGGGTCTTTGTCAGTGTTAGTGCCATCTAAGTAAATGTGATCCCCACTTGACGCTAACTTGACAACTCGCCAGATGCTTTTACAAGGTCTCTGCAGATCACATGACCATGTGTCGTTACCCAAGGCTCGAGAAATGTATAAGCTCTTTCCCTCTGTCACAGTTTCTGCAGAAAGGGTAACAAAGTTTTATTCAGTAAGGCTTTCATTCTTGAACCAAAGCAGTGACATTGGTTTGAGCTGGGGCTTTCATATCTTTAAAATGTGCTTATTCAATACTGTAACACGGACACATGGAAAGTTTGACGTCTGAACCTGGTCTATAATATTAAATCCTGGTAGTGATGAGAAACGTGATGGAAACTTGCTTTTAAATGAATTCCCGTCAGTTATTTTGACAATAAAAAGTTGTTTGCTCCCTGAAAAGTAATGACCACCATAGTAATGAGCCCCTGAAACTGTCGTGATAGTCATTTAAACCAGATGTGACCCTTTTAGTATCACATTAGTGTTATCTTTTTTGATTGACATTTGAAATCGGAGTACCTGAAGAAGAGAGTAGTGCAAATTTACCTTTTGTTGAGATCGGTCGGAGAGGAAATGTACGAGCGGATGGTGATTTAAATAAAAGAAGGATTTATGATTTAAGCGAGCTATTTTGTGTCCCACAAGTTTGACTGGGTTTTGACATTAAGAAAACGCCGGGTTCTCTCCGCCCCGAGGTTTGACCCGTTACCCTTTCATATTGCAGGTTTTCACCGTCACGTCATCAAAAATAAAAGTCTAAAGCGTTTTGTTGATTAAGTGCTGAATCTGGGAAAGGAAAGGAGGTGAATATGCAAAGACCCTCGGCAAGATTCAGGTCAGTGCAATTTTTCATAAGCGAGATAGTTGGAGAAACTATTTGCCCAAACTTATAGAGCTTTGTATGGAGACGTCATGTTTTTGCCCATCCGAATGGGCACCAACATGGCGGTCGGAAGCCAACAGAAACATCTGTCACTGAGTTTTGCTACGAAAACATGAATTCATCTCTCAAGGAACTCATAACTATTGAAAAATACTTTTTCTAATACAATGACTGTTTAGATAACAAAATCCGTCAAAAGAAGTCACTTTTTTAACCTGCACGACAGCTCTTTAGGCCGCCATGTACATGATACGTCACGAAAGAGCTTAGTAATTCGAGCATATTCTATCACAAAACGAAGAACTCTTTCGAAGTGAAAATTTGTATAAGTGATTGGTTTGGAGCTGCTCTAATGCTTCCCGAAAGCAAAAACTCGGAAGGATCAATACATTCGTTAGTGTGAATTTTGATGACGTCGTGTGAAAACCAGCAATACCGTTTTTATCAGAAAAGGTACCACTCTCGTATACCTTCTATTGAAAAAATGGTAGACCTTTCACATACTTAGTTTAGACCTTTCCGACTTTTTTAACTGCTGTAAATGGACTGAACATATGAATAAATCACAAAACCAGAACGTTTTGTTGACTTTTTCACAGCCATAAAATGCGTCTGTTAGCTCTTTTGCGCCTTTTAACAGACCAGAATGACAGTTTTTCCTACCCTATCATATACTTCAACCGGTGAAATCACTAGCCTTTCACATACTTGAAGCCTCAAAAGGGTACTCCTTTCAGCTGGAGGTTCCGCTATAGGCCATTATAGGGATTATCCCCCCGGGGTTAAATCAATACAAAGCGTTTCGAAAAGTGCGGGAAACGTATAGGTTACTTCCCTCCGAGACAGTCGCTGTAAAAAGACAGACATAAAATAACCTCTTAACCAAGCTAACGCATCTGGCCTTATATTGTAATAATAGTAAACTGTTTATTAACCACCATTCCAGTTAATAGAACTGAATTACAGGGTTAAAGTACAAACTTGAAATATTTAAACTTTTTAACAATGCTTCACATATATACCACTACTTTTAGCATTTACAAACTGTAAGCTTGACTGGAGGTAATAAATGAGACACAACGCTTCGTACGGAGCATGTTCCTGTTGTTACATGTTTTAGTACTGCTGGTCGTCTTTGTCCTGAGGTTGTAGTCATGAGAGTGACCGCTGCTACTAGGTAGTAAAAAGTTATTTGGGCGACTAATACTGTGTAATTTTTGTATATATTTCATGGATAACTGACTCTTCCTAAGTGCGAGGCTTGTAGTTTGGGCAGAACTAAGGGCGTCCGCATAGCTAAGGGATGGATATATAATAGACAGGGCCCTTCTCTGAACTGATTCAAGCTTATCAGAAAGGCAGGCAGGAATGTCCTGCCACACCTGAGCACCACACCGTAAAATTCCGAAAATAAGTCCCTCCATGTATAAGCCCCTCCAAATATATGCCCGCAAAACTCGTAACGCAAAAAACCCTCCGTTAAATCGCCCGCTCCAAATATGAGCCCCCCGGAAGCTTGTACTTGGAAAATTGCTCTCAATTACAAAATAAAACGAAGAAAAACGGTAAATTTTCTACCAAGAAAAAGGCTAGCCCAATCGATTTTTGAACGCAAATTTCCTTCCGTACATAAGCCCCTCCAAATATAAACCTCTCAAAAAGGGCCTTTTTTGAAAAATATAAGCCCCGGGGCTTATTTTCGGAATTTTACGGTATTCTAAAATAACAGGTCTTATGGTGGTTAAGTAGACTTTAAGGATTAGTCTAGAAAGGTACTCCTGCTTTCTTCAATACTAGCAATGAGAATAGGTGCTTTGAGGCCTTCTTAAAAATATAATCGATGTGATAGTTACTTATATACACTCAGAGGAGTTTACAGATGGGGACGCGATCCACATCGTTATTGCCAAAAATTATGGGTGACAATAAAAAGTTATGATTATGCATGAGATTAACTAACATTTCTTTGCACTTTTTAGGGTTTAAACTGATACTGTGGTCACTAGAAAAATTGTAAATGCCATTAGCAACTAGATTGAGTAGGCTGCAACCGTTCCTAGGCAAAATTTCGAGAGCTGTGGTGTCATCAACAAATTTAATTCTCAATTTCCAGTCCTTCGGTAGA